AATGGTTGTACCATTTTACAGGCCCACCAGCAGTGTATGAGAGTCCCAATCTCTTCACAACCTGGCCAGCATTTGTTATTTTCTGTCTTGTTGAACGATTACCTCTTCTAATTTCAAGTTAAATACCATCTCCTTTGTGAGCCTCCCATGACTCTGACATTAAATCGGGTCTCCTTGTTATAATTTTTCAAAGCACTAGGTATTTTTTCTTCAAAACACTTAAGCAAATTGCAACTATCTATTTGTTAGTGTGATCATTTAAACTGTAATTCCCCCATGAGATGTGAAGTTTCAATAGGATAAGGACAAGCCTGGAACATTTTAAGCACGTGTTATTTGTTGAATGAAGAAATAAATGGAGGAAGGAAAAGAAAGGATGGAAGGAAGGAAAGCAAAGAAAGGAAGGTGTCATTGTCATTTAGTGCTACTATAAGAGATATATCACAAGTGCATGGCTTAACAAATAGAAATTTATTCTCTTACAGTTTAAGAGTCTAGAAGTCCAAATTCAGAGTGCAGGCTCTAGGGACTGGGTAAAGCCCCCTCAATCTTGGGCTTCGGCTCTGCCTCTGTTATAGGCCCACTGGAACAAGTGAGAGGCTTCTTGTAACTCAGAAAACTGCAGGCTGCTAAGGTTGATGAACCCAAGGTCGGCAAGTAAAATAGCACAATCAGCAGGTCAGCAGGCAACATGGCAGAGCATTGGGACAATTCCAGGAATTGGAGATGAAGACTAGACCAAACACTGGATCCAAAGTGCCAAAAAGCTAAAGACCTTTCTCAAAGCTTCTACTCACATACTAGAAGCAGGCCACACCCCAAAGACAGCTCCTTTTCCACTGATCAGTGTTCCACAGCAGACTCCACCATGGAGGTAATTACAATTTCATCATGAGGAATAACTACATCCAGCTGCAAAGCCACTGCAAACCACAGCCAGCCAAGTTGGCACACAACCTTAACTACCACGGAAGAAAATAAGAAAGTAAGGAAGGGAGAGTTATCAACTTCTGCTAGTGTATGGTAAGGAGACTATCTTCAAAAAGTGAACAGGGTTTCACAGATGTTCATGTAAGGTGATGTTTATTTCTTTTAAACTAAGCAATGGCAATCTACTTCTGTAGTGGTATTGCCTTGGCAACCCAAGGTGGGGTCGCTATGAGTCGGGACCGACTCAACGGCACATAACAACAAACTGGTCCTGTGGGGCTTTCCCCACCCTAAGCGTGTCAAAGGTGGAGTTGTGAAAACAATGTAGTGTGATATTTAATACACTAATTCCATGTAGGAGGAAAGGGGAAAATATATACATGCACAGGGTACGGGTTATTAACCATCACTAGCTAGTTATTAGGAGTCAGAGAGGCTGGACTGTAAGAATTTTCTTACCTTAATATATGCTTCTTCTTGTTGTTGCTATTTGCTGTCGAGTCGCCCCCGACTCATAGCGACCCCTCCTTGGGTTTCCAAGGCAGTATCACTACAGAAGTAGGATTGCCCAACCTTCCTTCCGAGGAGTGGCTGGTGGGTTTGAACCGCCAGCCTTCTGGTTAGCAGTCAAGTGCCTTAGGCACTATGCTACCAGGGCTCCTTAATATATGCATAGTACTTTTTATTGTTATTCCCATATTTTACCTTTTTTTTTCTGAACATAGACTACACTATAATTTAGCAATTATACCAGTGTTATAATTATTTATCTGCACATGCTTCCATTGTTAGACTATGACCTCCTCAAGGACAGAAATGCCATATCTTACTCATCTCTCTGCCACCCCTCCCAGCCCAGTGAACAACACATAGCAGGGGATGCTTTCAAACTGCAAAGGAAATTTAGAAAGCCTAACTACAGAAATGTAGGAATGAGAAATTAAGCTTCTCTTGTCATTCAACACAAAGAAAATAAAAATCCTCACAACTAGACCAATAAGCAGCATCAGCACAGAGGAAAAAGACTGAAGTTGTCAAAAACTTCATATTAATTGGTTCTACAATCAACACCAATGAAGCAGCAGTCAAGACATCAAAAGATGTATTGCAATGGGCAAATCTATTGCAAAAGACCCTTTGCTGAAGAGCAAAGATATCTCCTTGAGGACTAAGATGCGCCTAATCCAAGCCATGGTATATTTTCAATTGCCTCATATAAATGTGAGAGCTGGACAATGAATAAAAAAAACAAGGAAGAGTTGATGATTTTGAGTTGTGCTAGTGAAGAATGCTGAAAGTACTCTGGACTGCTAAAACAATTAACAAATCTGTCCTGGAAGAAATCCAGCCAGAATGCTCCTTGGAAGAGAGAATGGCCAGACTTCATCTCACCTACTTTGGTCATGTTGTCAGAAGGGACCATTCCCTGAAGAAGGCTGTCATGCTTGGTAAAGTGGAGGGTCAAGGGAAGAGGAGAAGACCCTCAATAAGATGGATTGACACAGTGGCTGCATCAATGGGCTTAGGTATAGTAGGGATTGTGAGGCTGGCACAGGACTGGGCAGTATTTTGTTCTATTGTACATAAGGTCACTATGAGTCGGAGACAGCTCCATGGCATAACAACCCTTGTCATTAATTCTTCTGGTTCTTATGTTTAATTTTATTATGTAAACATTTCCTTAATCACTTCAAATTCTTGTGAAATTGGCAGAA